CCATAAGCTCAGAACTAATTTATTTGGGAGGTAAAGGAGGAAGTGTAGAAATATGGGACAGGGAGAAGCAGAACAGAATAGACACCCTACAAACTGGTACCAATTGTAAGGTTCTTTGCTTGGCTCTTGATGCCAATGAGGAAGTTTTGGTCACTGGAACTTCTGATGGTCGAATCCGGGTAAATAACTTTTTCTTCTTAATATTAATCTGCAAGAATTACTGGGATAATTTCCATGGTTTTGCCTCTTTTTTTTAAAAAAGAAAAAAACTAACAGTAAAAATCTATGCCGGTTTGCAGGCATGGGGGCTGAGCTAAGAAAAGGACTTCGTAACTTTGGTGGACGGAAATATATTTGGCTGGAAGAGCAGCTGAAGATAGATTATTTTATTATTTTATTAAAAAAAAATGAAATTCTTTGCAATATTTCTTCTTTGTCAGGGAGCATTTCATGGAAAATATATATTGCTTTAGCCAAAATAAAGACATATCAGATGTAGAACACTGAGAATTGTAATGCGTTTTGTTGTAGAGTTGTACAGAGACTGAGTTTACACAGAGAATAAAAGAAATTCCCAAGTCAATCTGATGATGCTGCACAAGCTATTCTAAAGACATGCATAGTTCTACTTTCTAGGAAGCAAACCACCAGTTGGTTTGTTTTTCATGTGATTAATGAAACAGAGTAAGTAAACATAAATACGTGCACAGCAATTTGCCATATCCCCATTTCTTTCGGTGCAAACCAAATTACAAATCACTCTTCCAAACCTCATTCATTACTTGCCTTTTTTGCTCTGCCAATCTCAAATCCAATCTTCTTTTTGTCATGATTACTTGCTTTCTTTGTTCATCCATGTTAGAATCTTTATAACGAAGTGTCATAATTACTTTCTTTCTAAGCCCATCTACTCCTTGATCATCTCTCTTTTTATATCTTCCATATTAGTCAAGTGCATTAAAGATTCTGCTTACCAATTCTGGCTGTGAGCTTATTATGTCTTTATCTTCATACGTTTCTTTGATTCTGTCTCATCTTGTCTCAGTATAGGAAGATAGTGTAATCGAAGATTATGCCTTCCAGTTTTACAGCAGAGACATTGTAGGAGACCAAGATCATATATTTCCAGAACGTAATCAAACTACAGAATATTTTCATTTTCAACGTTCAGATTTCGTTTTTCCTTGATACCCAAGATATGAATTCAAAACTATCGACCCTCTGCAATCTATATAATGCTTTCTGGTTTTTCTTATCCTCCACCTTCAAACCAAGGCCTTCTGTTTGCTATCTTTGAGTTTCAGAACTTTTTGTAATCCTCTGTTTTCCTCTGTTTTGTCTCTGTTCTCCTCTGCTCATGGCACCTCCAAATGATTCTTTAAATTCAATCCTCGTCGTGTCCCAATCCGAGAGTTTAGAACAATACTTTGATCTTTCTAATGGAAATCTTAGTGTTCAAGGATTTCCATTGCTCTCTGAAGTTCCAAGCAATGTCAATTTGAATCCCTTTTATTCAATCTGCCAGCCGTCTGATGATGTTCCACTTCCTCTGCTCCACCGTGTCAGTGCCTTGTCCCACAAGGGAGGGTTCCTTGGATTCAACAAGGAGGAGCCTTCCCATAGGTTGATAAACTCCTTGGGCAGATTTAGCGGCAGGGATTTTCTTAGCATCTTTAGGTTCAAGACATGGTGGTCTACCATGTGGGTGGGAAACTCGGGGTCAAATGTGCAACTGGAGACCCAATGGGTTCTTTTTGATGTCCCTGAAATAAAGTCCTATGTCATAATCATCCCCATTGTTGATGGCTCTTTTAGATCTGCTCTTCAATCTGGCACTGATGGCCATGTCGTGATCTGTGCTGAGAGTGGTTCTACAAAAGTGAAAGCATCGAATTTCGATGCCATTGCTTATATCCATGCTTCTGACAATCCCTACAACTTGATGAAAGAGGCCTTTAGTGCTATTAGGGTCCATCTCGATACTTTTAGGCTGTTGGAAGAGAAAACAGTCCCAAATCTTGTTGACAAATTTGGTTGGTGCACTTGGGATTCCTTCTACTTAACTGTAGAACCTGTTGGTATCTGGCACGGTATCAATGAATTTGCTGAAGCCGGTGTATCCCCTCGCTTTCTCATTGTTGATGATGGCTGGCAAAGCATCAATTTTGATGATGATCAGGATCCAAATGAGGATGCGAAAAATCTAGTTCTCTGTGGGAGTCAAATGACTGCTAGGCTTCACAGGCTCGATGAGTGCAAGAAGTTCAAGAACTACAAAGGTGGATGCATGTTGGGTCCCAACGCTCCTTCATTTGATCCGAAAAGGCCAAAGATGTTGATAGGCAAAGCAGTTGAACTAGAGCATGCTGAGAAGGCCCGTGACAAGGCCATTCAATCTGGAGTCACTGACTTATCCAAGTTTGAAAGGAAAATTCAGAAGTTGAATCAAGAGTTGAGTGAGTTACTTGGTGGAGAAGAAAGCAGTGCTTCTAATAATGGCTGTGGAAGAAGTCCTTGCGGGGCTGAAAGCTATGGGCTTAAGGCTTTCACAAGTGACTTGAGAACCAAGTTTAAGGGTTTGGATGATATATATGTATGGCATGCTCTTTGTGGTGCCTGGTCTGGTGTTAAGCCAGGTGCAACCCACCTTGATGCAAAGATCACTCCCTGCATTGTCTCTCCTGGACTTGATGGGACGATGAATGATCTCGCTGTGGATAAAGTCGTCGAGGGTGGGATGGGACTTGTTCATCCGGACCATGCTAATCTTTTATATGACTCTATGCACTCGTACCTTTCCGGAGTTGGTATCACAGGAGTCAAAGTGGATGTTATTCATGTAAGTCTTCTACACATCACCATTTTGAATTTTGATTTCTGCTCTGTGTTGTCTTGTTTTGATAATCAAATTAATTGTGCTCGCTTTTTTTGTTCATATGAATTTTTCATGCAGACTCTTGAATATGTGTCTGAGGAATATGGAGGCCGTGTGGAGCTTGCAAAGGCTTATTACAAGGGGCTGAGTGATTCTCTTGTGAAGAACTTCAATGGGAGTGGGCTTATTTCTAGCATGCAACAATGCAATGACTTCTTCTTCCTTGGGACAAAGCAAATCTCTATGGGAAGAGCTGGTATGAAAGTCTAAATAAATTGGTCTTAGTCTTGTGTACAACCTATATTTTCATTTTAAAAGTACCACATGAAATTCTTAATGAGATCATTCATGGATTATATTCTGTTTTTGCAACTTGCAGGAGATGATTTTTGGTTCCAGGATCCAAGTGGAGATCCTATGGGAGTTTACTGGTTACAAGGTGTGCATATGATCCACTGTTCCTACAACAGCATGTGGATGGGTCAGATGATAGTCCCTGATTGGGATATGTTCCAATCAGACCATCTGTGTGCCAAATATCATGCTGGATCCAGGGCTATCTGTGGAGGCCCAGTGTATTTAAGTGACTACGTCGGTAGCCATGATTTTGATCTCATAAAGAAGCTTGTTCACCCAGATGGTACCATTCCCAAGTGCCAGAACTTTGCCCTTCCAACAAGGGACTGCCTCTTCAAAAACCCTTTATTTGACAACAAGACTGCTCTCAAAATTTGGAACTTGAACAAGGTATATTGTGCCACTCAATGTTACTTAAGTTTGGTATATCTTTGTTGGCTTGTTTGTTTATGTCCTTTCCCAAATTCCGTCGTTAAATGTTTCGATTTTTTATATACTTGTTTCATAGTATGGTGGAGTGATTGGAGGGTTCAACTGCCAAGGGGCTGGTTGGGACCCCAAGGAGCACAGGATCAAAGGCTATCCAGATTGCTACAAGCCAATCTTTTGTTCAGTGCATGTTTCTGATATTGAATGGGACCAAAACATAGAAGCAGCCTATTTGGGCAAGGCTGAAGAGTACCTGGTCTATCTCAACCAGGCTGATGAGCTGCGCCTTGTGACTCCAAAATCTGCTGCAATTCAAATCACTCTCCAGCCATCTTCGTTTGAGCTTTTCACCTTTGTGCCAGTCCAAAAGCTCAGCGATAGCATCAAATTCGCGCCAATTGGACTTACAAACATGTTCAACAGTGGAGGAACCGTCCAAGAGTTGGAGTACAAAAGTGAGGGTGAGTTTAGTGCCAAAATGAAGGTTAAAGGAGGAGGCAATTTCTTGGCCTACTCAAGTGGATGTCCAAAGAAATGTTATTTGAACGGTGCTGAGGTGGCTTTCGAGTGGTCTGAGGGTAAACTGAACTTGAGTCTTCCTTGGGTTGAGGAAGCTGCTGGCATTTCTGAGTTGGGTTTTTTGTTTTGATGTTAGATACAACTGAATTACTTCCTTTTCATTTTCTCATTTTGTAGGACTGAACTTGGCACTTTTGCAGTTAGGAAAATATATGGAAGAATGTATCTCCATATTCATCCTCTTTATTAAATGTAAAGTCTCTAAAGATTGATTAATATAAATTCACCCCCCCTTAACTTAAATATAATTAATACCACAAACAGAAAATACAACGAATCATCGAAATACGGTGAATCATAAAACATAAAATGAAATGAATCATCATTGTTTAACCTTCCATCTGTTATACATCACTTGTTTTCATCTTGAACCAGCTCTTATTATGTGTACGTAGTCGGATTCTAGTTGCATTATTTGTGTATGCATGCAGACAAATAAGATCGTTGGCCATTAAAATATATGTCTAGAAGACAAATTAATTTGTTAACCTTAAGTTGATCTACGAAACCATCCACAGTTATCTGTTTTCAAATTGCGGCCACAGAAAGATCAGATCTATCATTACAGCCTTATGTGACAATTTTGTAATTTTGTAGCGCGTCAGGAAAAAAAAAAACAAGAAAACAATATAAACGTTATTTAAGGCCATCTTTTGCATTGTGATGATTTAAGATAATGTATTGAGCAAAGCTTTAAATCTGAATCTCCATCTCTCTTAACTGCACTCTTTGATCATACATTCATTCCGAGACCAATCCGATGGTTGCAGTTGAAGAGATGGAGCTCTCCTCAGAGCAAAGCACGTCCACTCAACTGGTCACAATCAAGAAGGGTGGCCTTAGAACCATGCCTTGTATCATCGGTATGTGAAATCTCCTGTTAAAAGTGTTGGATATTAACTTACTAACGAATTAGCGTTTGAGTATATATGTATTTCTACTTTGAGAGGCAAAAGTTTATGTGAATTTCATACGTGCAGCAAACGAGGCATTGGAAAGGGTTGCAAGCATTGGGCTTCATGCAAATATGATCTTGTACTTGTTATATGAATATAACATGGAGGCCGCCACCGGAGCTAGTATCTTGTTCTTGTGGTCAGCCATATCGAACTTTACGCCCATCTTCGGGGCTTTTCTCTCCGATTCTCACTTGGGTCGCTTTCGTACTATCGCATGGGGATCAATTGTTAGCCTGCTTGTAAGAAAATTTGCTCAACTTCTCCACACAATTAGTTTTTTTTTTTTTTTTTTAACCAATTTTTTATATACCATATTTATGAAATTATTTGCAGGGGACGACTATGTTATGGTCAACAGCAATAATTCCACATGCAAGACCAGTCCATTGCAACAACCCATTAAAAGAAAAATGTGTCTCAGCAAACACAGCCCAACTGATGCTTTTGCTTGCATCATTTGGTCTCCAGTCGATTGGATCTGGTGCGATCAAGCCATGCTCAATGGCCTTTGGAGCAGACCAGATGGACAAGCCAGACAACCCCAAGAATGAAAGGGTTTTGCAGAGCTTCTTCAATTGGTACTATGCTTCAGTTGGAGTCTTTGTCATGTTTTCAGTGACAGCCATAATTTATGTTCAGACGCAATTTGGTTGGGTTGTGGGTTTTGGGATTCCTGTAGGCCTCATGTTCTTGTCCGCTCTTCTATTTTTCTTGGGATCTTCCCTTTATGTTAAAGTGCCTCCAAACAAGAACTTGTCTGCTGGCCTTGTTCAAGTGATTGCGGCTGCTTGGAAAAACAGACACTTGGCGTTGCCCGTGTCACCAAAGAATTTTGATGCATGGCATTGTATCAAAAGTTCAAAGTTTGCCACTCCAACGGATAATTTAAGGTACATGATCATGTTAAAATACCATATAGTATATTACTTAGGCTTAGCTATGATATTTTATATGAACACGTCGTAAATGATCTTTATATGTTCGACATACATGTCACCAGAGAAATATCATGCATATAATCGACTCATACAATAATATTACTTGTGGCTTAAGTTTGCTGTCAATGACTTCATTTCTTTTGATTACATCGGCACGAATCAAATTCTTAACCTATCCTGATATTAATTTGTCAGGCCTCTCTCATCCACTTAGTCTAATTTGCAAATCTTTGGCTCCTTTTTTTAAGGTGCCTAAATAAGGCTTGCATGATCAGAAGTCCTAAGCAGGACATAGCTTCTGATGGGTTGGCCAACGAACCATGGAGTTTGTGCACTGTAAGACAAGTGCAAGAGCTGAAGGCACTGATCAGAATCCTGCCCATTTGGTCTACTGGCATTATAATAGCGATGACGACCACCCAACACTCATTCGCTGTGCTCCAAGCAAACGCCATGGACAGGCACATCCTGGGCAAAATCCAAATCCCAGCAGCCTCCCTTTCCACGTTTGGCGTTCTCACCCTGGTAATATGGGTGGCCATCTACGACCGGATACTAGTCCCGCTGGTGGCCAAGTACACAAAAAGACCGCGTGGGTTTACCTTCAAGCAAAGAATAGGGGCAGGACTAGTAATCTCTTGTTTGGCCACAGCTGTGGCAGCAGAGGTTGCAAGGCAGAGAAGAAAAACAGCAATTGAGGCGGGTTTTCTGAGCAACCCAGGGGGTATAGTGAGCATGTCTGCCATGTGGCTGGTGCTACAGTACTGCCTGTCTGGACTTTCAGAGGCTTTGAATTCAATTGGGCAGCTAGAATTCTACTACTCTCAGTTCCCAAAGAGCATGTCCAGTATTGCAATGGCTCTTTTGTCATTTGGGGGTGCATTTGGGAGCTTGCTTGGGAGTTTGGTTGTGAACATTGTGGATGATGTGACCAAAAAAGATGGTGTGAGTTGGGTTTCAAAAAACCTCAACAAGGGTCACTATGATTATTACTATTGGCTTCTTACTGTTTTGAATGTGGTAAATTTCTTCTACTTTATACTGTGTGGTTGGTTATATGGGCCTTGTGAAGACAAAAATAATTGGGATGAGGAAGAAGAAGGCATGAAAGAGATGGAAGAGATGGAAGAATTGTCGATCAAGTCCGGCGAGTATGCAGTTGTCTACTTATCAGCTTGATTTAGCTCATCATGTGCTTTTTCTTATATTTTCTTTGAAGCATATCAGTAAAACTTGCTGAGCATAAAATGTATAGACTTACACAGATGTCAATCCAATGAGTTTTATGCTTTGAGAAATGAATCTACAAATGGTTTGTGTATTTGAATTAAAATTAAATTTGTTTTCCAACTTGTCCTTGAGAAAATTCCAGGGAAACTCAATCACTTTAAGACATAGTTGCTGAAGTCACTTTTTTTAGTAATTTTACCCAAGTGGTTTGGCACCCGTCATACAACCTCAGTTTTATGTATCCGGTCTAAAAATAATTGAAAATTTGACAGAATAATGAATCTGATGGATGGGGATCATCAGCTCAGGGTTGGTTTGGTTGCCTGCAATTAGCTAGTGACATCAGATCATACCAGTCCTCACAAGCTTCTAGTTGTTTTTTTAAGTTGAAAGTGCTTCAGAGTTGAAAAGCACTTGAAAGTTGAAAAAGTGCTTCACATATAATAAAATGGTCAAGAGACACAGAGGAACAAAGGAAAGTTACTAATTGGGATTCTTCAAGGGCCTGCTTATGTGCAGCAATCTTTACTGCTGGTACAAAGCAGGTCTTCCTTTGACAAATAGTTACCGTTATAAATCAACAGAAATTTACATATACCCTTTTATTTATTTATTTATTTATTTTTTGAGTACAAGCAATAGTCTAAACTATAGGAGAGGGGGATTTCTCACACACACACAACTATGATGCCGTGAAGATTCTTTTTTCACTGAGCTAGACCCGTTGGCACCCTTCGTTTTATTTAAATGTTGATCACCCGAACTCAAAGTAGCACTTGACTGAAAACAAAGGGTGAAAAAAACAAAGCTACACGCCTTCAAGTTTAATTAGTATATACATATTATTTTCACACTTTCACACTCAAAAGTACTTCACTTTGGTGGATCATGCATACAGAAAGTGATACAAATATTCCCATGAAAATATATTTAACAACTACCTTGTTTACATCTTTGCATAGAAAATTATGTAAAGACACATTAATCATGATCGACAGTAATCTAGTTATTTCAAATTATTAATGATGAAAAGGCACAGCAAAAATTGTAATTAGTGGCTTGTTTTCATCTTGAGCCAGCAGCATTCCGCTACAGTGATCTAGGTTATTTCAAATTATTATTTGTAGTCGGATTCTGCTCAGTTGTGTGTGCACGTAGACAAACGATAGTTGACCAATTAAAATGTCTTGAAACAAATTAATTTGGTCCGACCTCGAAATCATCCACGGTTGTATCTTTTTGTATTTGTGGTCACAGAAAGATCTGATCGAGAATTATAGTATGCTGATGTTGCTGCTGCTGCTCAAAATACTGCTCTATTATTCTTTTTGGTGATGATAAACTCTATGCGACAATTTTGTAATTTTGTAGCGTAAGAAAAACATTGAAAACTAAATTAACATTATTTAAGGCCATCTTTTGCATAGTGCAATCCAAACTGGAAGATGCCGTGGCAGAAACAAAATAGTGAAAATGATATGTTTTTTTGGTTTTTTTAAAATAGTAACAATGATTTATGATGATGGTCGCTTAGTTGCTGTTGTCTTTGTAAAAGCTTTAAATCTGCCTGTCCATCTCTCTAACTGCATTCTTTGATCATACATTCATTCTGAGACCAATCCGATGGTTGCAGAGATGGAGCTCTCTTCAGAGCAAAGCAAGCCCGCCCAACTGGTCACAAGCAAGAAGGGTGGCCTTAGAACCATGCCTTGTATCATCTGTACGTGACATCCCTTGTTAAGTATTTGATATTAACTTACGGAGCACTTGAGTGCTTCTGTATATATGTATAATGTATTTGTACTTTGAGAACCAAAAGTTTATGTGAATTTCATACGTGCAGCAAACGAGGCATTGGAAAAGGTTGCAAGCTATGGGCTTCAAGCAAATATGATCTTGTACTTGACATCTGAATATCACATGGAGAACGCCACCGGAGCTAGCATCTTGTTCTTGTGGTCAGCCATGTCGAGCTTCACGCCTATCATCGGGGCTTTTCTCTCCGATTCTCACTTGGGTCGCTTTCGTGTGATCACATTGGGAATAGTCGTCAGCCTACTTGTAAGCAAATTTGCTCAACTTCTCCATACAATTAGTATTTTTGTGCCTACTTGTCACATACAAATGATCAGAATGTGCTTATTTGACTTTAGATTTCAGAGATTTATGAAATTATTTGCAGGGGGAGATTTTGCTATGGCTAACAGCAGTATTTCCACAAGCAAGACCAGTCCATTGTGACGACCCATCAAAAGAAAAATGCGTCTCAGCAAACACAGGCCAAGTGATGCTTCTGTTTGCCTCATTTGTTCTCATGTCCATTGGATCTGGAGGGATTAAGCCATGCTCACTCGCCTTTGGAGCAGACCAGCTGGACAAGCCAGACAGCCCCAAGAATGAAAGGGTTTTGCAGAGCTTCTTCAATTGGTACTATGCTTCAGTTGGAGTCTCAGTCATGTTTGCAGTGACAGTGATAGTCTATGTTCAAGTTAAGTTTGGTTGGGTTGTGGGTTTTGGAGTTCCTGTAGGCCTCATGTTATTGTCCAGTCTTCTGTTTCTCTTGGGATCTTCCCTTTATGTTAAGGTGCCTCCAAACAGGAACTTGTCTGCTGGCCTTGTTCAAGCGATTGCGGCAGCTTGGAAAAACAGGCACTTGGCATTGCCACCAAAGAACTTTGATGCATGGCATAGTCCCAAAGGTTCAAAGTTTGTCACTCCAACGGATAATTTAAGGTACATGAACATAGATTGCATAATCATGTTTATTTTATAAGCTTATGGAACTTAGGCTTAGCTATGATATTTTATGTTATATTGTACATAAAAACCAAAACAAATGAAACCCATATTTGAGGAGGAACTTTTATATGAGCCTGTTATAAATGATCTTTTATGTCACACATATATGTCGGAAGAGAACTATCACATATGAAACCGGCTCATACAATAATGTTGGCTTAAGTTTGGTGTCAATAACTTTGTGTCTATTGATCACAGGAACGGATCAAATCCTTAACCTTTCCTGATATTATTTTCCCTAACCTTTCTCATCCACTTGGTCTAATTTGAATATTTTTGGCTCATCTAAGGTACCTAAATAAGGCTTGCATGATCAAAAGCCCTGAGAAGGACATAGGCCCTGATGGGTTGGCCAAAGATCCGTGGAGTCTGTGCACTGTCAGGCAAGTAGAAGAGCTGAAAGCACTTATCAGAATCCTGCCCATTTGGTCTAGTGGCATTATGATCGGGGTGACGATCGCCCAGCACGCATTCCCTGTGCTCCTAGCAAGCACCATGGACAGGCATTTCCTGGGCAAAATCGAAATCCCAGCAGCCTCCTTTTCCCTGTTTGGCATTCTCACCCTGACAATATGGGTGGCCATCTATGACCGGATACTAGTCCCATTGGTGTCCAAGTACACAAAAAGGCCGCGTGGGTTTAGCTTCAAGCAAAGAATTGGGGCAGGACTAGTAATCTCTTGTTTGGCCACAGCTGCTGCAGCAGAGGTTGAGAGGCAGAGAAGAAAAACAGCAATTCAGGAGGGTTTTCTGAACTATCCAAAGGGTGTAGTGAGCATGTCTGCCAATTGGCTAGTGCTACAGCACTGCCTCACTGGACTTGCAGAGGCTTTGAATGCAATTGGGCAGCTAGAATTCTACTACTCTCAGTTCCCAAAGAGCATGTCCAGTATTGCAGTGGCTCTTTTGTCACTTGGGTTTGGATTTGGGAGCTTGGTTGGGAGTTTGGTTGTGAGCATTGTGGATGATGTGACCAAAAAAGATGGTGTGAGCTGGATTTCAAGTGACCTCAACAGGGCTCACTATGATTATTACTATTGGCTTCTTACTGCTATGAGTGTGGTAAACTTCTTCTACTTTTTACTGTGTAGTTGGTTATATGGGCATTGTGAGGACAAGAAGATTTGGGATGAGGGAGAGGGCACAAAAGAGATGGAAGATTTGTCCAAGTCCGGCGAGTATGCAGTTATCTTCTCTGCTTGATGTTGATACAATAGATATTGGAGAAGAGGAATTCGAACATTGAGCTACAAACCCCTTGCAAATTCTCTGTTTAGTTTAGCTCATGTGTTCTCATTTTTTTGAAATGTTTGCACATTAGTAAAAAAATTTTGAAATGTTTACACATCCAATGACTATTATGATTTGAGAATATGAGTCTACACATGGTTTGTGTATTTGAATTAAAATCAAGTTGGTTCCAACTTCTTATGCGTGGACAGAATTTTCAGTTTTACATTCTCAGTTAAGCAAATCCCGAAGAGCAGAATTTTCACTTGCTTAGTTGAGTAGATTGGCATTGCTTCTCTATGTAGAGTGTCGCAAGGTGTCTCTTGGTAGTCTGGATTTCTATCGAGGCCTGATAGCCTTTTTGCTTATGGGCTTTAATGAAGTAATTCTTAGAGCACTCCTACCTATGGCGATATGACAAAAGGCAAGGGCAAATAAGGGCAGGCACTATTCACATTAGCAGTGCTTGTCTTGACAATTTTTTTGTTTTGTTTTTCCACCTATTGCCATGGCAACCCAATGGCAATTACTATTCATATGAGATTAATTTTATTTTTATGTATGAGATTAATAATTAAAAAAATAGTTAGGTATGTATAATATTTTGAATATTTTTCAATTTTTTTTATAAAATTTTTCTTTGCTAATGTTAGCGCCTTCAAGCAACAACTCGAGCTATTCTTGCCTTTGGGCCTGCCCAGTTTTTGTGAAGCCCACCATTTGCTCGGGCTAGATTTGTGCGATAGAGTGGGTTTCTTCAACCTGGGGAGGGGGGGGGTGGCATTTTGCCGAGGAGGGCTTTGCAATGGAAGTGCTATTAGGGAAAAAAGGAAGAAAAGAAACCCATGCGATTAAATTTTAAGGTCTTTTTTGGGTTAATTCGCCCTGACTTGTTTAATAAACGGGTGGGTTTCGGGGCA